CTATAAATAATTTTTGTCAATTTCTATGTAAGATTTATCATTATAACAATAATTATAATTGTTTATTGTAAATAAATTTGTATATAATTAAACATTGAAAAAGTCAAACACTAAGACAAACATTGGAAAATTTGTATTGATATTTTTGCAAAATTACGTGCTTAATTATACATTCCTATTTTTTTCCTTATCAAAATATAACAATAAAAATATTGTGGTGTATATTATTATTATTATTATTATTATTATTATTATTATTATTATTTTATTTTTTGGTACAATGTGGATGTATATTAATATTTATATGTAACACCAACTAATGGAATTGTCATTGTCAAGGTCAAACACCAAAGCCAATAGGTCTCACTCTCAATGATCATGAGACCCACCAAATTGACAAAGTCAACCCAAAAACCCACATATGATCAAACCAATCACACTATATATAATGCTCCTTATAGTTGTAGTCTTTTTAAAACCAAATTTATTTCTCTTGCACATTACATTGCACATAAACTTCCTGCATATGATCATGTCAATTGTGATAATCTTCCTCACCTCTCTTCTCTTATCAACAATTCCCACAAAAATAGCCATTCGACCTTTGGCCGGAAATTATAATGATGGTAGTCGAGATCAAGTTTTCCGTTTCGGAAAAAGTTACCCTCCATTGGCTAAAGATTTCGCCTCAGAGAAACGAATAGTGCCCACAGGATCCAACCCTCTTCATAATAGACGATAAACGTTCTCTATTGTTTAGCTGCCATTTTTTGGGAGTTCGTAATAAATGAAGGTATGCCATAGTTACATGATAAATGTATCCATCTCAGTCTCTCTTCTTACTATACAAAGATACAAATGGTGTGCTAAAGGGTATATATAGCTTTTAATTAAGTGACTATCATAAATACATATGTTTGTGCATGGCACCAATAATCTTAATTTGGAGCATACTCTTGAAGAGTGGTTTTGTTTATATATGCTGGTAATGTGTAATGTGGACGATATATAGTTTTCATGAGACTTACTTTTATTTTTTATTTTTATTTTTATTTTTTCGGTACAAAGAAGGAGGTTAAAAGCCTAAGAAATGTTAAGCTAAAACACGTCGGGGATAGGAGACCCCAATAGCATCATGATCAAGCCACGCACCCAATCCTGGGGGAGGCGAGGTAACACGGTGTAAGCCTAAAGGAGAAGAGAACGCTAGGGATGTCATACAACTTATTATACAACTACAAAATCTCCATATATAACTTATGTGTGTATTAATGAGGCCTTACACGCCATATAATCAACGTTAATAATTATATGTTCATAGATTGTTTGAATAATCATTTTATAGGGAAATACTACACTCTTGTTGGGATTTGAAACCGTTAGATCATCATGTAACCGTCATGGATAGTTGATTTAACGGTTACAAACCCCGATGAAATGCTTTCGTAACGAGAACGTAGAATCTCCTCATTTTATATAATCCCGGAAATAATCCGCGTTAATTATTTATGAAGAACACAATAAAAAGAAAAGTAATATGGTGAACAGTACTGCTTAAGTGCACATCGAGACTTATAATCAAACCACCACTATATAAGTATATGGAGATAGTTGGCCACCAAATTATAACATGGTTGAACTTATGAAGTGATGCAGCGCATCCCACATTGGGTTTGAAAGGAAACGAAGCAGGCCTTATATAAGGATGTGGATACCTTCACTAGTAAGACGCGTTTTGGTGAGTGTGTATTGAAGCCCAGCCAAGAACAAAGCCGTGCGAATGGCGGAAGTAGCCCAAAGCGTACAATATCTTACTAGGTTCTGCATCAGTTGGTATCAGAGCCAACCCATGTGCCAGCGGTGACCGCTGGGCTCACAAGGGGGTGGATGATGCAGCGCATCCCACATCGGGTTTGAAAGGAAACGAAGCAGGCCTTATATGATGATGTGGATACCTTCACTAGTAAGACGTGTTTTGGTAGGTCTCATCATGAAGTCAATGAAGAAATTGCACCACTAAAAATCGCCTCTTTTAATATCAGTGTGACACAACTTTTCCATATTCAAAAATCTATGGGAATTTTTTTTTTTTTTTTAAATTTATATGAAAAGTAAGTAGTACTGTTATTATAATCTAATTAATCAATAATAATTTTACCTGAAAATAC